TTTTTACATGGTTTTGATTACATAACGTTATTTCGACTGCACGTCTCTACAAAGTCAACTATCTTCTTTTTTTCCTTTTTGCTGGTTAGTCATCTGTTTTTTGGGCCTGGGAGCAGGGTATTTGCACATTACAAATAATGCATCTCATCAGTTATGCACAATAGTTCATGATAAAAAAAGGCTTAACTTCAAATGCGTTTTTCTCAAATTCTCAAACCATACGGTTCCTTACTTCAAAATGCCATAACTCCGTTATAAATTGAGATATTTGAAAAATTTAAACAGTGCCATGTAGAGAAATGAAAGGGCTGTCAAGTGGCACCATCAGTTAAAAAACATAAAAAATTACATTGTGCCTGGTTTTCCCAGGCCACCACACATTTGTCTATTATATCGTCAACAAGCTGTTCAACTGTGCTAAGCCTAGAAAGCAAAATTTTACAGGAGAGAAAAATGTGTTTCATTCTGTTAACAATAGTACCTACGTTAATCTTTTGTTGCTTTTTTCAACTATTAAAGTTTGACTTTAGACAAAATATTCTTTTAATGCATGCAAATGATACTACAGATTAAGAAACTGCAATTAAAAAAATATGTGTCAAAATTTTTGTCATAGTGCATTTTAACAGCTAGTCGATGATATGTATTATGCGTCTCGGCTTTCTTCAGTGTGTATCACAATGTGGTCTGGTGTAGTGTAGTGCTTAAAGAACCAAACTGTTTAAGTATTTACTATGGACGAAATTGTATGGATAGTGCAGTAAAACAAATGCTCAGTCAGTCATGCTGTGGAGGGAAGCTTTTATTTGTAATAGAGTTTATCTTCCAAAATCCCAATATCTGCTGCTTATGCAGTGTTCAGGTAAGACTAAAGCAGACTGTCAAAATCCATGTTTCCTGATTTTTCCTCCTTGCAGTTGACATCTACTAAGAATGTAAAATAGCTTTTATAAGATGTGGACTTGGGTCTCGCTTGCTTTTCTGCTACAAGTAGTCTCATTAGTCTCTTATTTCATTTGACAGTGACAGATTTTGAAAAAAAACTTTTTCAGTCTTTCAAAACTAAAGCAAACTCTCAAATTTATGTTGGGTGGTTATTCCTCCTAACAGATGGCATCTGGTAAGAATTAGGGGATACTTAGTTATCCCAGCTGGTATCATGCTGGACTACAGAGCAGATGGCTCTGGTTCGAATCCCAGACTGGGTGCTCTTGTACTTGGATTGCTTTGTGGAGTTTTCAAGACTCTCAACCCATTTAGCTCGCTCGGTGCTGTTGGAGACAGACGTTAAATTCAATATCCTACTTCTTAAATTACTTGTAACAGTGTTGACAGGGGCGTTAAATCCATACACTTTTTTTTACACTCAACTGAACGTTTTGATTAGCTTTTTTAAGGTGAGGAAATTAGTCTTTCTTTTTCTACTACAACAAGTCTCATTAGTCTTTTATTTCATGTACTGGCATCAGAGGTTTAATGTTTAGACTCTTTGCTGTCTCAAGTAGGACCTCCGAATTTGATTCCTGGGTGGAGAGAATTTTTATAGATCGTCTAACTTTCTACTTTTATGTTGTATCCATCTCACCTGGGGTTGGCCCTGACCGGCAGGGTCAGAAGTCCGCCTTCTGAGTAATCTTAATTGTGATGAAGGGGATGTTAAAAGGCTTACATTTCTTATCATTTTTTTGTCTATTTCACGTGACAGGACACAATGGTTGTGGAGTATGAGTCTGATGCCTTCTCTGTTGAGTACGAGGTTGAGTCCAGTTCAGAGCATGAGCAACAGCCGCCGTCCCAGGATGCTCAGGGGTCAGGGACTTCCAGAGATCGAGGATGTTCTGAGTCAGACGTCAGCTCTTCTACGTCGGGAACTGTGAGTGTTTTAAGCTTCTGTCTGTACTGTTGCAATTTGGTGAAGCTTTGGAATGGCAGTAAAAAGAACCGTGTTAAACTCAACTGCAGAATATTTCTTTTTATGTTTAAGGTTTCCTCTTACCTTTAATTACATAAAAGTTTCTTTGGATTACAGTATAAAGACTGTTCATCTTTTTTATCCATGTTTTCTATTATAATAATCATTGCATTTGATATTGTTGTCCTGTTTAGTTCCTTATATTCTGAGCTTTCAAATGAATTTATATTTATATGTTCAAAATCCTTTTCTGGAAATAGTATTTGACTATATCATGTCATGTTACCTAAAACACAGCTAGATCATTTTTTGTTGTTGTCTTTATTGGCCATTCCTTTATGTAATGTATTTGATTTCTATGCTGATATGTGAGAAAAGAATTCTACGTCACTAAGGAGCACTATGTTGAAAGATACCAAGTGTGAAGCAGGCTTTAAAAAATCTTGTGTGATTTGTTGTGGCGTAAGGCTTGTGGGTGCTGTGGAATTTGTGCCTACTCTGAGTGTCTCTTTTAACAAGTAGTTTTTTATCTCTCTTCAATGTGTCCCCTCAAGTATCAACTCTTACAAGTTTTAAGCCTTTTCCCTGCTTTGTGGTAGCAAGTAACTACCAAACATTAGCATTTTAAGCATAAAAAAAAGATTTCATGCTATAATTAAGCATGCATTAGCAACCAAAATGTTCAGAAAAGAATGAAGATTTGTTATAAGAGGATGCAGTTACAGTACAGACAGGCAGATATTTATGACCAATGAGGAAAATAAGACAAAACAATAGTACAAGGTCCAGTCAGTAGCTGTGACAATTTAAGTGACGCAGACTGAATTTTGTTGTTCCTCAACCTTCATATTTTGATTTTATTTGTAATGTTTGTAGTATTTCAGCTTGGTTGGGACTGTTCGCAGAAGTTGCTGGTAAAACTGTACTGCTTTGTCCTTTGAACAGTTGTTGAAATGTTCAGAAGAAAAAAAATGTCTATTTTTTATGTGTGTTCCATTGATTTTGCCAAAAGAATCTTGTCTATTTTCAAAGTAGGGTTGTATGTCACTCACTCAATTCATATTTTTGAACGTTTTGAATTGTGGCTATTCAGTATTCCGAATTAAGACCACGCGACGCTGGTCTTCGTTAGCATTATGAATTACCTGATGCATAACTGCCAAAGGTTCAATGTCCCTGTAGTCTTTATGTAATAAAACACACAGTATTATCATGCCTTTGAAAAGAAGAGTTTCAAATAAATGGATGGAAGAATTTTAGTATAAATTCTTTAACTGAAGATACTGAGCTTTGGATGAGAAACGTGGCTAAAAAATATTTAAATGAATGAAATGCTGATTTGAATGAATGAAACACTGTATATCTTTTAAGTTCAGTTGTAATTACGCGAACACAGTACTTCGATATCCGAGTTGATGAAATAAACAAAGTTCGATGTGGCCATAAGCCAGATAAACGGTCTGGGAGGATGAAAATGGAGTGGAGGTCGGTGGGCCAAGTGATGACGAACGTCATGGAAAACCTATCTGTTTTCAGCTCCGTTGCTCTCATACGCATCATGTATCGGAAACCGAAGCGGACATGCAGACACCACTCGAGGAAATGTTCGTTGTGATCGTGGAAAGTCGTGTGAAAATGAATGGATCGTGCACCATGAAGGTAGCGGCATCTGTGTTTCTGTTGTTGCGGCTGCAGTGGAAATCCAGGTGCCAAACTCTCGTATGCACTTCTCTCCGGTATGAGGTCAGGGGCTTGCTTTACAGGCATCTCATTCAATCAGTGACTGAAAGAACGCAAGAGAACATATTTTTTAACAGGATTTCTTCAGCTGGAGTTTGTTAATTTTATGATGGGGTAGGTAGAGCACAAACTTGACAAAAAACGTAACAAATGCAAACTTGACTCAACGCTTGAGTCTGACTGGGGTTGGATTTATTCTCTCTTCCTTCCTGGAACCATTTCCAGTCAACTTGATGTCCTGCTGTGGGACTTAACAGTTTGCTTTCCCTCAGAAATAAGTCTGTATGTGTTTGTCTTCAGTAGAGGCAAACACAGGTTAGCCTTAATGCACATTGTTAAGTACATGTACTTGGTGCTCTGTGCTTGAGATTTTGACTCTAATCGATATTATCACAGCACTGTGAATTCTCTACAAGCCTGTTTTGATCTGACGTTTGCCATCATTTAATTAAGGAAAAAACGTTTGATTTTTTAAGGGTTGTTTTTTGATAAAGCATGATCACAGAGTTTTTATGTACAACTTTTTTTTGTCTAAGTTTCTAGGTTAAAATGGGGCATCAAACCCAAATAACTGGCGTCTGTGGTATAAGAGTTATTAGCTTGGCTGTTGCATGCAGGAGACCTGAGTTTGATTCCAGAATGGGGAGAAATTTATCGAGTTTTTTGGTCTTTCTGCTTGGATGTTGTATTGCTGTCAGTCTAGGTTGGCCCTGATAGGCAGGGTCAGAAGCTCGTCTTCTAAACGATCTAAATTGTGTTGATGGGAGCATAAAATCAGGTCCATTTTCAAAGCCAAATAAACATTCACTTGTAGTCGTTTTATTTGTAGTGTCTCTTACAACAACAAAATTAATGGAGAAAATAACAAACAGACACTATTCAGTTGGTGTTGCCGTTAGTTTTTTATAGTCAAAAGTGAAGTGCTATTAATCATGGCCATAGATACTTTTTTTTAGACGATTATTTACATTTTATTTTTTCCCTTCATGAGCAGATATTTTCTTGTGAAGAAATATTTTCCACCCGACTGTATCTATTCTGATCAGTCTGCCTTGTAAAAAAATTCCTCAAAATCTTTTGTTAGTATTGGTTCTGTCTCATGTTTTGTGGAGCGTTTTTTAAATCTAATATCTCCCGCCTAATATCTCCAGTTGCTTCTTTGAAACTAAGGACGAAGTGTCGACTCTCTGAAATTTTTCGTGATAGATGTTTTTATGTCAAGTTTTTCAAAGAAGAATGAAATAAGAACCAGCATAGAGTTGTTTCCCAATTTTCAGTTTGCACACTATTTCTTTCTGTAATATTTCTTTTCAAAACCTCATTTTAATTGTCAAGCTGTACAGTTAACATGTTTCATTGGTTGTGAAGTATTCACATCTTTTGGCCTGAGTGAAAGCCATTCAGTTCAATACAGAACATTTAAAAAAGCTCAGAACAATTTTTTTTCTTCATGTTTCTAAGCTAAAACTCCTATTTTGATGTGCTGACTTTCAATTTGACTCTCTGCCAGTCCTTTATTGGGCACATTTCCCCTTAAATTATATATGGAAGTTTTTCTTTTGTCTCTCTGCCCACACACATGACTTGGCCTAATATTTTTAAAAGAATCATCTGTGTTTAAAATCTTTGTAGCTGAGTGTTCTGACCGATATTCTGCAAACTGGACCTGTGGGGAGGTTTTTGATTTCAAGTATTTCCATTTGTCTTATGGGATGTTGTGTCCCTCTCAGCTTTGATGGCCCTGACAGGCAGGGTTCAAGTTCAAGCGGCCTGCCTCCTAAGTGATCTAAATCATGTTGATAGGGCCGTATATCATATACTGTGTTACATACTTGTTATATTGATTTAGGCAAGCGTGGATCAGAATGTCGGACATCTGTCTGGGGTTCTGAGTTCGGACACACAGGAGTGATGTCCTCCAGGTACTTCTCACTCACTTCTCTCGTGTTAAAAGAAAGTGTACGGGTAAATGCAAAACTGATTCCCAGAGAATGGTGTGTACAGCTACTCTACTGAATTCAGAGTCGTGGGAGAATGAACCTTTGAAAAGGTTCTCCCTGGATAGTTGTCAGTTAAATGCAAAATTGATTCTTGGTACGGTGAGAACAGCAACTCTGCAGTGCTCAGAGTATGGTGGTGAATCAATTTTGAAAAGATACCCCCGAGCAGCTGTCAATGTGTGGAGCATTGCTGAATAGTGAGTTCAGATGCTTTTTATTGCTTGTGGGAAGCACTTGTAAGCCTATCATCAACATCAAGGGTGGTTTGTTTATACAAAGTGTGTAAAAGAAAAGATATTGGTTTTATGTTCAATGTAGATTCTAAGGTTATAAATCAGTCATATTGTTTCTAACTTCTTGTTGTTTCCCTTCCCCCTCTCCTTTTTTTTTGGTTTTATCTCTCTACTTTCATACCTTTCTTTGCCTCACCTTTTTCCTCTGCCTTTTCCATCTTCTTTGACTTCAAATCCTTCCCCCTGCCCCTCTTTTTTTTCTCTCTATCCTCTTTCTTTTTTTTTTTCCTGTCTCCCTCCCTCCCTTCCTCCCCCTCTCACTCTCTCTCTCTCTTTCTCTCTCTCTCTCTTTCTTTCTTCCTCTCCCTCTCTCTCTCCCGCTCCCCCTCCTCCCTCTCTCCCTCCCTCTCTCCAATACGACTTCCAAAGGCCATCCTGGTAGTGTGTAAGGAGAGTGATGTGGAGTACCTGGCAGACTACAGTGACTCTGACTTTGGCAGCGACGCAGAACTCTCCGATGCTGTGAGTATTTTTCTCCATGTCTTAAATAATCTTTCGGGGCAGGGTTAGCTCAAATTAATAACCTCAGTTAATTGTAGAATTTCAATAGAAAGATTCGATGGAATCTTATCTCAGCTGTTGCGTCCAAAAGAAAGAAAAATAACTCGTTGACACACTATTCAAATAATATACTAAGCCTGAAAGCAAAATTTTTCAGGGACAGGAAAATACTTTCATTCTTTTATCAAAAGTACTAACTTTATGTGTTTAATCCAGAGGGGTAACTTAACCGCTGGAGAAAACGCTTCGATCAACTCTTGAACAGACCACCTCCAGAAAACCAACCAGAAATTTTTCCAGCCAGAAATGACCTCCCAATAGTTACGGAACCTCCTTCGAGAGAGGAAATTGCTGCAGCTATAACATCCCTGTAGTCCCACAAGGGAAAGTCTTTAACATGGTGCACCGTCTTTATGTTATCCTCAAGTATCACCTCCATTCTCATATGACTTGCTTGTGTTGCAAGTGCTGTAAAACTTTTACAAAAACTAAAACTGTCCATCACACCATGCTCTGTGTGACTCTTTTTTCTCATAGCCATTCTTTGACTCAACACTCTTACACTCTTTTTCTCTCATAGCCATGCTGTGACTCAATACTCTTTTTCTCTCATAGCCATGCTGTGACTCAATACTCTTTTTCTCTCATAGCCATGCTGTGACTCAACACTCTTTTTCCCTCATAGCCATTCTGTGGTTCAACACTTTTTCTCTGATGCTGTGACTGAAACCTTTTTTTTTTGTTGCCCCAGGATAAGTGGTTCTGCAAACATTGCAGCATCAAGAACCCTCCGTTCCAGCGGAACTGTGCCGGGTGCTGGAGCGTCCGGCCGGACTGGCTGCCAGTCAAAGGGAAAGTGACGAGGTGCGAAGAAAAGACGGACGAGAGTTGTGCCTCAGCATCATGCGATGCCGTCTTGAGTCAGGAGAGTGGTCTAGGGTCTAGCAAGTCCACCATGGAAGCTGATCAAGATAACGACCTTAAATCGGCGGTATCTAATGTGGCCACACCTGTGAAAGACTCTGTTGTGTCACCCGTGAAGAAAAGAAAATATTCCTCTTGTCTTGAAACTTCTGACTCTCAAGAAGACAAAAAGCGGCCTCTTTCACGTCCAAAGCTTGAGGGAAAAGAAGCGTGCTCTAGAAAGAGTGAGAGCTCCACTGATGAGCACGTCAAAGCCAAGGGGAAAAAGAAAGCTTCGAGTTCTCTTCCAAATCCGGCAGATCCCTGTGTGGTTTGTCTGTCTCGTTCCAAGAGTGCAAGCATCATCCACGGTAAGACGGGCCACCAAGTTTGCTGCTATCGCTGTGCCAAGCGACTCAAAGAGCAGAGAAAGGCCTGCCCCATATGCCGTAGACCCATTCAGAAAGTTGTCAGGAACTATTATTTGTGACAGCTGCATTTTTTAGGGTTTTTCAATTTTCAAATTCAGTTACGAAGACGGGAATCTCAGTATCTCTCTTATTACTGATATGTCAGTTTATAATATGAGGGATTACACCTTACCTTGCTTCATTTGTATATATACACACTTGTAACTATTAATTTTACCCACTCACAATGAAATGAACAATACAAAAGTGCTGGTGTATTGATGCATGGTGCAGAGAGAGCTGCTACTGGGATAGGAGGTCCTGTAGGAACTGCCATCTCAGGCAGGACACTTGCGTCTGTGGTGTAGCTGTTAGGCATTTCACTGTCACACGTAGGAGACCCACTAGTTTGATTCCCGAGTTGGGAGAATTTTTGAGTATCTCAGTCTTGCTATGGGAATGTTGTATCCCTCTCAGACCTGGATGGCCCTAACAAACAGGGTTGGAAGCCTGCGTCCTAATTGATCGAAATTGTGTCGATAGGGGCATAAAAACACCTACATTAAGAGAAAAAAAATAGAAATTTAGACAGGAATAGTAAAAATGGTGAGTCATAGTGAATCATGAAATGTCCCGTGGCATCTTGGTTTCTAGAAAGTCTCATTTAGGTTACAAACCGAGTTCCCCTGTACAAGTCAGTGGTGCTACAGGGTTGGAAAACCTGTTTAATCTTAATTGTTACTGTGTTTTTTTAATGATGGGTTTAGTCTAGTCTCCTGACAAAGCGTTTGTCAATTATATAGCTTTGCACAGAAGGTCAAATTCAGAACAATGCATCAGCACGAATATTTAATTGTTTTTTAAAATTTAAATGCTGCCAAAACTCAGTACATCTATTTATTTTCTTGTAATTTAAAAATTGTGATGGCTTGGATACAATGCTTACATGAGTAAGTTCATACATTTTTCTGGCATGAATTTGTTTAATCAGCACTCAGCTACAGCAAATACCGTTCTAAGTCAAATACGCTCATATTATTATTTCAAAATGCTGTTTCGTTTTTTGTTCTTGCGATAGACATGGGAAGGTTCTCGACACATGGTCAAAAAGTGGTACCTGCCGCACCTGTTCACAATGTCAACTTGATTGAAAGGAAGCATATCGAAATTACAGCTGAATGTCTTATAGAGTCAGTTACAGCGCCCTTTGAGTGCCTTGGTATTACAATTCAGCAAAAATAAACATAGCATTTTCCCAAAATGATTGTTCTTTTCCTTAAATTGTAGACTTTGACCTATGCCATTTAAATTAGTAATATTTTCCATTTATCTGTAGAAAAAGTCAGATTTTGTTCACATTCTCCATTTGTGATGTCACAGTTGGGGGAAAGAGACACTCCAGCTTCTGGAGGAAAAATGTTCCAATGATGTTACTGTTTACATGTCTGGTAAATATCAGCATTCCTGCAGATTACGGAGTTTCTAGCCACCCTTTCTTCCCTGTTTCTCTGTTGTTTCATTTTATCAGGAACAGTTTGTGAGTCATATCATCGTGCATGGATGAACTTTTCCAAATAATATTTACTTATGTGCATTTAAAAATAATTGTCTTGGTCCTTTGTCTCTTTTAAAAAAATGATGAGTGCCGTCTTTGAATTTTAAAAATGTGGGCCACAATGTTGACCTAATGTTGAGGAGAATTTTCTTTCCCCTACACGAGTCAAAGGAAAAGATGGTACTAGAATAATGTTAAATGCTGCAAGTAAAATGTTTGATGATGTTGGTAGTAGCCCCATATTGGACAGGACATTAAGAGCTGGTTCCTGCTTTGCTATTGCTGTGTTTGTTGTTGCTGCTGCTGCTGTTTTGGCTGTTCTTGCATTAATCTCACTGACAATGCCAGTGACTTATCCATTCAAATGTCATTATTGATTTGTGTTCTCCGTGAACGTACTTTACTCCTGTGCAGGTATGTGATATTTGATTTGTTGACTGCTGACCTCTCCTCAGGACAACTATAAATGTTTTACTGCTTTCGTGTGTCAGGGGTGGGTCCTCCGGGTGCTTGTGTTTGGGGAATCTCAGTTGCCGATTTTACTGATATGCGAGGCATCGTGGTAAAATCTGGCACTCGTTAAAATATGAATTTTTAAATCGCATTTTCCCACTCTTTGGGCAATTTTAATGGATTTTTTTTTCATGCTCAATGCCTTTTGTGTCCATTCAATGAGATAAGATAAGGTACATCTTTATTGTCCAGATTCTAGCATATTGGTTTGGTGTTTCACCACGTGCGCACGCACACACACACCCACACACACACACACACACACACACACACACACACACACACACAATGGCAGATATCTCAAAGTATTCAAGATAGACTGATATTTTTTTCATCAAAATCAAGGCAGATGATCAGGCTTTATGTTTATGTCAATCACTTCATGTGCTAAACAATTGACGAGCGCCTGTTTCCAACATGCCATGGCACATTATGTTCCCTGAAGTGATACAGTGGAGTTGGCTTAAACTGAAATTTGTGGGACCACCAGATTTTCTTAGATTTAACTGGCTTTTTGGTAAAGTGAGTTTGCTATCTTTTTGTTTTTAAATTGTGGATTATTTATTTATGAAGCGGGCTGACAAATGAGTTACTTCTCGGGTTTGAACCCTATAACAGTAGGTACTTCACGCTTATAGGTTAAGTTTGTACAATTCATAAGTATAAAATAATGGAAGGGATGTTATACTTACAGAATATGGCATCAATAGAAAATGTACAAATATGACCATTGTATCGATTTTTGGACAATATCTCCATTTGTGTGGATTGCGAGAAGTGACTCACTTTGTCGGCATGCCCCACGTTTTCTTTCTGTGTTCTTGTTGTTTTCAGATTAACTGTTCAGTTAAAGCGAGCTCCGCTGTATTTTGCAATGTTTTCCCGCATCTTCATGATTATACTTTTACTGGATGGTGCCATTTTAAAAATTATGCAAGTCTCTGAAACAATTGTGATTTGAAATATGAATATCTGTATTTCTCTGATTTTTTGTAAAAATCTGTGTATGTGCTTAGACTTTGCCTTTAAATGCTGACGTTTGTGCAACTACACAACAATTTCTGTGTGGATGTTATCCTTTGCCTCAGATTTTTTTTTCACAGCATACTTCTGTTAAAATATGAGTCATCCTATTTCTTACAAAACTTTCAAAATTTGTCTTTTGGATATTCTTTATGCAGTGTGTTAGACTCAGAGTTAAAGGGTGAACTGTTTCCTTTTCAAATTGACTGTTTAAAGTGATACAGGGCGATAGTTTATTTATTTATCATTGGTATTGGTGGAGGTATTAATTTTGCTCCAAAATGGATTTCTTTGTTTTGTTTAGGTGCTGAGATAAGACTATAACTGTAATATCCTGTTCAGACTGTTTTCGCTCATCAACTACAACAAGTTTTATTAATCTTTGCACAGTTAGACATAGAGGAATTCAGGCCCTATGTTACTATTGCCGTTAATGACCATTGTCATAGTAAATTTGTTCATTTAAAAAAAAAGTGTTTTTATGCCCCAGTTGACACTACTTACCGTACGTCATGGAAGAGGCTGGCTTCTGACGCTGTCTGTCAGGGCTAACCAGGACCAGGAGAGATACAACCTCCCTGCAGGAAAATGGAAGCACTTTGCTAAAAAATTATCCTCTCTGAGGAATCAAACTCGTGTATGCTGCATGAGACAACGAAGCACTTTACCAATGGTCTGTGAAGTGTTTCCCAGCTTACAAAGCTTTGTTGGACTTGTGTCCCTAACCTGGTGATGGTTAAGCACTTTGTAGTTGCATGCATGTGTTGACTCACACGTGGAGAGTTTTAGGGGTTTGTTTTTTTTACATATATCAAGCACATGTCTCTATGTGTCTACTGTCTGCTGAGGTGTTGTATCCCTCTGAGCCCAGATTCACCTTGACAGCAAGGGTTGAAGTTGAAGCATCCTGTCTCCTAAATTATTGAATCGTTTGACAATGAGACAGAAAACTTCTACAAAAATTACGTGGTGCTGGATTTAAGTTGTTATTTGTGAACTACTGACTTTTAATTTTGCTACCTGTGGCTTTGTGCAAGTTCACTTGCTGTATCATCAAATATCAAACTAAATTTCATTTGTAAGGATGAAATTAATAAGGAGTGTGTTGGTGTAGCCTTGGACAAAATGGTGTTGATTTTTCATTTGTGTGTGCGCACATCATGGACAAATCAGCACTGTTGCAAGCAATCCAGTTAAGTCCAAAGGTACCTTTCAGCATCACCAACATGCAATTTGATGCCATGGTCAAGGCTTGCAATTTTCTTGCTTTTCATCATTCCTGATAGAAACAACTCAGCAAAAACTAGTTTTTTGTCTCTTGTGTAAAAAGTACCCAAATGGACTTAAGTGGATAGTTTGCTACATTGGCGATGTACTTTAAGGCTGTTGTGCTTGCTTAATATTGGTATAGATACAGTCTAGCATGCACATAGCGAAACATGGACATAACGAACAGATTTTTCAAGTCCCGATTTTTTTCTTATACATGTATATATATTCCTTCTATTTAAACACCTACATAGCGAAATTTGTACATAAACGAAAAGATGTATGCGTTCAGCCAATTACTCTACGAGTGTGCTAGACCGTATTTCTATCAACCATAATTGCCATATGTTTTTGGTTTCCTCCCGGGGCGGTGCCACTGACTGAAGTGTCTTAAGGCCATTCCCAAAAGGGGGACATTTCTCGTTCAAGCATAGTAGAATTGTAAATGGGCTGACTCATGTCACGCTCATAACTGTGCCTGATCTACAACAGGGAATTGCTGCTTTTTCTTTCCTGATCCTTACTATTGTTATTTTCCTCTACTTCTTTTGTATGTTTGTCACTCTCTTGTGACCTGCTATTTTGGGGTGCCTTGATAGTCGAAGCAGACCTTGTGCTGTTGAAGCAAGAGAGGTGAGCAGTCTAAGTCTGATTTCCTGTAAAGACTTCTCTGTTGACACCTACCCCTTGGCGATCATATGACCTTATGTAGTTGTGAGCGCCGTAAAACCCTTTACTATTAAAAAAATATATATAAATATGTTTTTGGTGACTGTAATTTTCCAAGTTTGTTACCTGAGACTGTATGAGAAGAGAAGCAGGCATGTGTGCAGTATGTACTGTATGGAGGATGTTATGTGGTAATTAAACGTGATGACAGAATTCAGTTCTTCAGGAGATTCAAGACGTGTGATGAATGAATGTCTTTCTGCCTCATGACATCAGTAAATTAATGCTTTATAAAAATTTCTATTTCTCTTTTGAATTTTCTTTCTGCATTTTTTTTTGTTTCAAATTTTTTCATAATGTATCTTCTACTCTCTCAGTGTTTGTCTCTCTCATTCTCATTCTCTCTCTCTCTCTCTCTCTCTCTCTCTCTCTCTCTCTCTCTCTCTCTCTCTCTCTCTCTCGCCCTTCCTCTATCTCTCTCTCTCGCCCTTCTTCTATCTCTCTCTCTCTCTTGCCCTTCCTCTGTGTGTCTGACTCTCTCTCGCCCTTCCTGTCTCTCTCTCTCTCTTCCCTCTCCCTCTTCCCCCCCCCCTCTCTTTCTCTCTCTCTCTTGGTTTTTTATGTGTGTGTGTGTGTCACTTCTTCTTCTTCTTCTTTGAGAGGTGAGAGCACTCAAAGCTCTTTTGTCATGATGCGTAATGAACATGTGCTCTTTTTAAAGCTTTCAAAAACATCATTTAGAAGAACTAACGTTAAATTAAATATTTTGTGAGGATGGAGTAAATGGTTGATGAGGTGATATCCTGACGAATCTTGTTTTTCTCCAAAACACCATAAATATTCTCCATTTGCTCTATCTCTAATTAAACTTTTGTGAATTCCGGACCCTTTTCTCAATCACACACAGAAATGTTGCAAGGATCTAACTTTTGTACATGTATAGGTCACAACCAGAAATTTTGTACAATTGGCTTGACCCGAAACGTTTGTTGTATATTATAATATAATAACAATAGATAGCATTTGTATAGCGCAAATCCCCGCTCAAGAGCAAGCTCTATGCGCTTCACAATCTATACTATTACCCCAGCAGATCTGAGAGCATTCTGAAACAAATCAACTTCCTGGAAAGCATACTGTGCAAGCAGCCATTTTTGGGCGCTAAAACATTAACATGCAGACAAGATCTTTCGCTGTCTTTAAGGCAACCTGAGACTCGCGTGTGTCCTAACACAGACAAACAACTAAGACCAAGCACTAGGCCTACGTGTACACCACAAAAGATTTCAGTTCTCTTGAGAAAATAATACCGTACCACGAGAAATCTTCATGGGTTGTTGCGGGTGCTCTGGTGTGGTTTGCTTCTTTTTTCCTACCGAACATCTATCGTCCTTATCTCCTCTTCTTTTTTATGTTTGTTACTGTCCTGAGTAACACCTCTAATCTTCTGGCGCTCATAATATGACCTTGTGCAGTTGCGAGCGCCGTAAAACCTCTACTAAAACTAAAGACTAAGAAATCTGCCAGCGTCTATGGTGTGACGGTTTGCCTCTTTTCCGTCACACTCAGAAGACACGACTATTTGAGTTGAACGATACTT